TTCAACAGTAAGAGGGGAAGAGAATAATCAATTTGAATTTCAAAAAAAATTAAATACTTAGTTACTATGAGGTTTTATTTTAATGTAGGCATATGTCAAGTAAATAGATCACAGAAGGAATCTCAAACTAAATAAATTCCCGTCAAGGGGGTCGCAAACGTACTCACTTTGCTAAAAGAAGCGATGATTAAAATCGCCAACCTTCCTCGCGAGATCGATTGCAGTGTTTACAATATAAAACTGTGAATAATGGTATAGATTTCGCCAATAGAAACATCACTAAAATTAATGATAAAGAATGTTGAAATTGGAGTTAGTCATTCTGCCAACCGAAAGCCTCATATATGCCTAGAGAGATTTTAACTTCTTCGAATAATGTCATTTTAGTGATATTTCTAGTTGGAAGTTATATCTATACAGGCAGTGAGTAAGTAATTGCAGTGTGGGTAGGTGATTGCAGTGCTGAAATATAGAACTGTGAATAAAGGTATAGTTTCGCCACTAGAAACATCACTAAAATTAATAATAAAGAATGCTGAAATTGGAGTTAGTCATTCTGTTAACCGAAAAGTTCATATATGCCTAGAGAGATTTGAAAATATTTATTTAATCTATACACGATTATGGATTTTACGTCTATTAGTCATTAAACTGTTATTTTCCATTATATAGTTTACTAAAATGAAATTACGAGATTTCCATTGCCTGCCCTGGATAGTTCAAAAGTTGTCACACTAATTGTAAGAGGAAAATGTTGGGTTTTAACAAAGGGAAAATTCATCAAATGATCCCCTAATTTAATTTCCAAAAAGATTACTTCACCGACTCATTTCAAACAGGTTATTGAATGTATAAAGACAATCGCATATGTTTAAACATGACAAACAACTTTAAGTTTACAAGTTCCGAAATGTTTCCAAACTTAGAAAATCTGTATCTCTAAAACTATTAAATTTAACGAGCTTGTTCTGGTCTTAAATTGTAGAACACTTATTCTTGTTTAAAATTTTGTGGACTGTTTTATTTCGAAAACGTGGTCTTTCAACACCGGAAAAATTGCGAAAATATAGTATATTTATTCAAAAAGTGATCCGGGGAAGTGCCGAGGTTGAAAACTTGGATTTTGCATCTCAGTCACGTTTCATATAAGAAAAAAACCTTCTACTTCTATTTTATCCAACTTACGGTGTACAAGATTACTTATTGGACTAGAGTCCTGAGCATCTGAGGCTCTAGTGCCCTTCTTCAGTTTCCACTGACTTATCAGTGACGCGGCTGGAAGAGAGGCACTGGGATCTCCTGGAGTCCTGCCTTTCACTTTTTGAGGACAAAGTTTGGCTCAGAGTTTCCTGGGCGAATGTAAATATTGTACATAGGAATGAATGTGTTAAGATTTGTTTAATTTTTACTTACTGATTTATTTCTTAATTTCACTGATCTATTATTTATGTATGCTATTCTATTTTTATATTTACTTTTTCTTAGTTTACTCATTTATTTTTATTTTTTATTTCCCTATTATATGTATATATGATATGAATGAACACTTTAGTCTTGTTACCTGTTGCCCTTTCATGTGGCAGATTATAGTATTTACTGTTCAATAAAAAAAAAAAAATAAAATAAAAAAAAATACCACTTATTGGACTAGTAGGTTAGAATAGCCTAATGGCGCACCGCACTAGATTTTTTATTTATTTCTGCAATAACTACAATTTGTTTTAGTCGTCCGTAGTTCAGACCTGTCCTTTTAAAAGCTTTATTCTGTGGTACAGATCCTTCAAATTATTAACCCCCGCCTAAAATTTCGTAAATACCTTCATCTTATAGTTAACTACAATTTTCTTTTTTTTTACGAAAATTCACTTAGGTTATAGGTCATTAGATAAAAAAAATTGATTCACGAAGTTTTAAGCGGGTTTTATAGCTTTTTAAAGGACTATTTCCTTATCTTTTGTCCAAGAAGTATATTGATTATTCTAATCAATTGATGAAAGATATCTATGAAATAAGAAAAGTTGAAATTCGCGTTTACTAAATTCAATTGACCAACTCTATAAATATACTGATTAGGAGGGGTTTCTGAAATTTACGACTCGCCGTTTACTAATTACAATTACTGTAATTTGAACAGAGTCACGTGGGTCACTTAAACGTTGCTACGACAGCATGGTATTTTCTTTTCTCGTCCAATTATCCTTCCAGTTTTATTCACCGAATAAGTATCTCTGTCGTTCCAATTATACCAGAATTCTCAAGTGCTAATTGAACCAGATACGTCTTGAATCGGAAAGGTCGATTCATTAATTAAGAAGAAACTCTGCCGAGTGTTATGCAACCATATTATCAACTCATAAAGCATTTATGTTCGTTATGGATTAACATTTAAGATATGAAAAGTTTTTATTTTTTAAACAATTAATGTAGTTTTCGCACATATGTCATTGGAATATCCAACCGTATCAGTTTAACTTATTAATGCTGTAATAAAATTATTGAGACATTTTTGGATTTGGGCAACACAACTAATAAAGGCCCTCAGAATAATTTATAAGTTTTCTGAAAACAGAACTTAGCTTAGTTTGGCCGTTCAAAAGTTTTTTGTAAATGGTTTTAACAATGATAAACTCTATGTTAATTTAAAGTAACTTTAATTTTGCTTACAATGAAACAATTATTAATTACTTAAATTAAATATTTCTTAAGCTATTGGTTCCGATTCAATTAAAAATACGACTCACTTAAAAAACTACAAAACTTTGATTTGCTGAAAATTAGCCCATTGTTTAAATGAACTTTTTTGTAGCTATAGAGGTCACTATCACTTTCATAAAAAATTCCCTCTACTTACGGGACACACTGTATATATAAAAAATATAAAACAAACAGAAACAAGGTTACAAATAAACAATAATAAAAACATATATAAAATATCATGCAGATAACTAGATTAAACAAAACATAAAAGCTGAGCAAAATGTTAATTAAGATTAATAAATAAAGATAAAACATAGTATAGGATAATAGCAAAGGACACCTCGTCACATTTGTATTTTTTCAGGAGAGCTAATTTTCCATAAGTTGGAGATCTTAGAATTTGTTTCTTGGTTACTAAATTATTTAATAAAAAATAGACATTAATTTCGGGCCACAGATATAATACAGCTTAATAAATAACTCTAATATTTTCAAGAGGAGCTGACTTCACTGATAATTCCTCCCCTATAACAGGATCTGATTAAAAAGGAGATCGTTGTCGAGAGTACAGACATTGAAATACCACGGCTCCACAATAACCTCAATAATTGGTGAAGGATCGGAAAAGACCACCACTAATGTCAGTGAAAACAGAATTTCCTTATCTCTTTCAAAGGTATTGAAATTCTGAAAATTGTGATAAAGATATTTTCGATAAAAGCTAATATACAAAGCTTTAGTAGAAAGCTTAATTATATATGATTCAGAGACGTGGCTTCTCAGTATGATGCAGGGAAAAAAATTTCTTTCAGTTCAAATGGATTTTTGGAGAAAAGCAGATAGGGTATCGAGTATCAAAAGGGTAAGAATTGCCAATTTAACGCAGAAATAAAACAAAATATCCTTGATTTGACGGAAGAATGGAGAATGAGATGATATGGATGGCCATTTGAGACAAATAGGTGACGATAGAATACCAAAAATAATTATGGATTGGAAGGCAGAGGGTAGAAGAGGGAGAGAAAAACTCCCAATTAGATGGAAGAATAGTATGGTGGAGAGTATTGCTGGTAGAGGACTGTTGGAGGAGGACGCGATGAACCGGCAGAGATGGAGTGACTTGCTGAAGCAGGAGTTCGGGGTCGAGGAAAACTTCATATTGAAAAAATATTAAGGAAAAAAAAAACAGTCTTGATACACGGTTACGTGATCTGGACACTAACCAACACCCAAGAAAGAAGTATTAAAAGATTTGATGGAAAAATTTTACGCACGACCACCGGAGTGATCTGAAGTCAAAGTTTTAACGAATATAGGAGAAAGATCAAAATTGAACTGTTTGCAGGGACTGGTCAATCGATGTCACATGATATGAAAAAAAAGGAGATTTAGTCGGGCGGTGCATGTAGCTCGGAGCAATCCATCAAGAAGCCTCTAAACAACAATGAATGCTTGAATAGTCTGCAAAAGACCAAGTGGCAGATAACTGAAAAAAAAAATAGCTTAATATAGGAACATATGGAGACTGGCATAAGACTGGCCAAGACTGCAGAAGATCTACAAATGCAGTATTAACAACAAAAAGAATTTAAAACAATAAAAACATGAATCTTTAAACTCTATGATTAATTTTAATATAGGTAAGATAAATTAATAAAAAAAATCAATTCAAAAACCAGATTAAAGAAATTTATAATAAATTTATACTGCATTCAGGAATCAGGTAACGTATAAACATTGGATAGAATCCATATAAAGTTCTGAAGTAATAGGAACAATAAAATAGATTAGTAGCATGTTTTCCGCCATAATCATGATTACAATTGTTAGATTAGACAAGATGGGACAGTGCACTGGTAGGCGTCTATACGTGGTAGTTGACGTGACAATTCCTATCATTCGATAACTATTATGCAAAATCTGATAGTGCGACAGAAAATTATTTTACAGTTTACGCCTTGGAAATATCTTCGACGGTTGATGTTTGGCAACTTGTAACGAAGCTTAACTATTAACTTTGGTGTTTCTACTTATTAAATAGAAGCCCAGAATGCACTCCAACTGAAGAAGTAAGAAAAAACTTTAAATATATCATTGTTACAGGTAACTAAATTAAAAATTATTTATATTATAAAAAACAGTTCGATTATTAAGAAAAACTATATTCATTACTGATGATTCGCATTAACATTAAAAAGTATTAACATTGAAAGGAACTTCTAGAACCATTTTTCGGCTCTTTGGGTGATGTTTAAAGCAGGTAGCTTAGAAGATGTATTAGAGATGATCCACTAGTACGTCTTCTATTCATTTTTTGTTTCAACTATACTTTTTCTTGGTTCTTTAGAACTCTCTCGAAGCCGCTTCGGTGATTGTTTATCTTCGGGTGTTAGTACATTAAGGCACTTGTAATAAATTTTTCTTGTTTTTGGCTCTCCAGAAGCTTCAAAAAGGTCATTTATGTTGAAATTACACAATTCCAGAAGAATTCCCGGTTCTCCAGTACTTTTGTCAGGTAAGAACAGCTGAATTTTGTTTGGTTCTGTATTCAGTTTCATGGCAACTTCATGAAGAAAGGATTCAAATGAAACATTGCTATAGGTTCTCATAATGAAACTTGAACTATTTGGTATAGTAACATCGTGTAACCTGACAGTGATAGCAACGCACAGTTCTTTCAATTGTATTCCGTTTTCCGAATTATCATTCAATTTTTGGAAAATCATAACATCACCATTCTGCAAAACAAATTTTCTTGTTGCTTTTACGTTGCTCAGCGTTTGGTTGTCTACTTCTATATAAATCTTCCAACCCGTATTTCTAGGATACCCAGCTGTCTCATTCAGAATGTTCATAATTTCGTCCGCCGATGATGATATGGGAACGTAATGATGACCGTGATAAATAATTTTATTTATGTTCGGTAAACGTATTTTGAAAAAAATTAAAGCCTGTTTTTTCGAATCGAATGGTGGTAAGGAAGACATGTCAAGATCAGGTGGTAATATTTCTAAAAATAGTTTCCATGGATTTTTAAAGCCGGGTATGTTTTTTACTTGTAACCTAATCGACCTGTTTTCTGTATTTATAAACGTCGGTCGATTGTTTTCATTCAAAGGCCAAATCCTCATCTGCTCAAGGGGATATTTGAAAAATTCGCAAAGGCCTTCCAAGAATTCTTTTAGAATTAAATTTTTCGGAATAGAAAAACCGACAAATCGAGTTGTTTTAGGATCGATCAAGTCTTTTCCTTCGTGCGTAGAAAAGGAGTCCTCGAGAACAACCTGTACTGTAACGCTATCCGTATTATCCTTGGGATACATCTCTTCAAGTTTTATCTTATCCAGCAACTTTATCAGGAGCTCCACAGGGATATCGCTCTCAGTCACTGTTTGAAGGATACTATTAATCTTGGATTGTTGAATATATACTAAGACGTAAGCATTCCTGAAGTGTCTTCTAGCCCCATCTTCAGTCTTGTCATTAGAAGCAGTTTCTCCTCCGAAATTTCCATTTATGGCTTCTTGTTTAGTGCAACTGCATACTACATCGTCATCAAATATGTACCAGTTGCCTCTTAATTCTGGATTTATATAAACTACGTAATGTCCATCACGATTGTTGCCGCTGTGGACGAGAACGGAATGCAGGCAATAAATGTCGGTTGAAGGATCAGGATTTAGCATATAACCATCAAGGTTGAGTAATTCTGGAAACTCCACCCTGCTGTTGCACTTTACAGAACAATCCCGCACTGGGTCGTAATGGAATCTCATCAAATGGAGATAGAGAACAGGAGGGAATTTACTAAACACTACTCGCTTTTCCGCTTTTTGAAGGCCGAAGTTTCCGGCATCATATTTATTATCGCCATCCAATATTTCAGGTGCAACATATTCGTCCAAAGAATCCAATATGTTTTCTTTACCAACAACGTTCAGCTGAATATCATAAAAAGTTTCAGTTCTAGATGATTTGTAGTTTACATATCTACATTCTATCGTAGATACCATCTGACCTTCAAACAAATAGGATAACGTCCCCTTCATTGGTGTATTCTCTATCATACCTTCCAATTTGTCGATCAACAATCTCAAAAACTCGTGAACGTCTTGTTGTCTCAATGTATCACTTGTTTTCCAACCGAAAGAATTAGTTAGGACCCTAGTGTCAACAGGTTTGTCACTAAACTGTAGTCCATAAAACACACGTTGAAGAGCGAAGGCTACGCTTTCCATGCCCTTGTACGGAATCTGGTAGACAGCTTTCCTGAACTGGTTTGTAAAGAACAGCGTCTGCAACAAGGAATTCATGTAGCAAGTCGCGCCTTGGTTTTTTAATCCTATGTATCCGGTCAGTTTCTTGGAGTCCCAATTGATTCCATGTGGTATCTCAGCTTCGATACGGGCTTCTATAGTTATACAGTCGTTCACTTCAAAGCCGTTATAGGGGTCGACCACTTCTGACCATAATTTAAAATTTCCGAATCCCCAATCGTTTTCATTTTCATGAAATAGATGACTAATTTTCTTACAAACGTGTGGCATATGCGGATTTTGCGAAACAAGTATCAGCGTTGCTTTGGCATAACAACTCCAAGAAGTATTTTCTGGATCTCCTGTGCATTGAAGGAAAAATCCCAAGTAGTAATTGTTACTCAGTTTTCTCATTGTTATCATGATCCTCCATTGGAAGCCTCGTATATAAACAGGATTTGAAATGGAAGTTCCGCTAAATCGAGTGACGTCACAAATGTTATGTGTTACAATTCCTTCCGATCTTGTTGGATCTTTTTCATCTGTCTTATGGTCTACCATTTTTATGAACCTCAAAACTTAATTATATTATAATATTTTGATTTTCGATAGAAGTAGGTAACCATCTGATCAATTAAAAATTCAAAATAAAATGACCTCATCTTATTTAAAAATTTACGTTTACCATCATACATATTCATTCGTTTTCATAAAAGAAACTGGATTCATTATAGATTACTTACAATCATTTATAGTTACCGGCCAGTTCTGTTCATTTTTTGAAACACCTTAAAAAAAAAAAATAGTAAAAAAGAACTGAATGTTTTTAACCTCAATTGACAGGTTAAATACCAATACAGAAATTCAGTCAATTTATTGGAAATTTTATTGTATATTAATTTTCTAAATAATTTTTAATTAGTCCTAGTCGATCATTCCTGAAATTAAGTGATGATAAACAATAATAATTCATACACGATTTTCTGCATGAGTTTAGTTAAAATAAATTACTGTAATTGAAAAGCTTAGAAACATGTGGTACGAATATTTTGAATAGTTCACAATAGAATAGATTTATAGGATAGATTCTAAAATACTGCAAACGTTCAGTATTTTATTGATAGATAGTATGTATAACAGAAAGCAATGATTCTTTACCTACTCACGTTGTCAATACAAAACGTTATTTGTACCATATCGATAGCTTACTTCTATAACCTTGTAAGTCCATGAAAAGAATTTTCATTCAAGGAAACAATAAGAATATATATACCTATTGGTGAAAAATAAAAATTACTTTTTCTTTCATACATACTAAATTAAGTAAGTTGATATTACGTGTTTATTAGGCGGTGAAATTTTCGTGAACCCGACTTACGAAGTTATATAAGTTAACCAGAAATATCTCGATGCTAAAATCGACATCATATATGCCAAAAGTCACATTTTTTAATAATCATATTTTTTCGAAGTTGTAAAAGGTTTTTGTCTTCTACAAAATTACAGAAAAATCTATTAAAAAAATGAATGGAGAAGACTAACTCTATATTTGCTTGAGTGTTTAGTAATAATTTTAACTGAAAATTTCGGCAAATTGCAGTGTAAAGTATGGTTAATCAATCTGCTTAAAAGGTAAGTAACAATGCTTTGAGTGGATCGCTTGACCAATTTTTAACTTTGACGGCACTAATTACTCAATGAGATTCCTTGAATATTTTGAAATAATTTGAGCATAAAACGCTGAAAACATTTTTATTATAGTTTAAATATCTTGATTATTAATTGATTTGAAATGATATTATGTGTCCGGCACGGTGTTGAAGTAAGGAATGTGAGCCTGTTTAACGCAGCACAATCATTACTTTTGCATGGTGCCGACAATGTGATCGTCTTATGAAAATCAATTGTTAGTATTTAAAATCTAAAAATCTTTTTTATTTTTATCATATTTACATGTGTATTCAGAAAAATATACATTAAGTAAATGTGATAACAGAAAATAATAACATAAAAACACTTGTTGAGAAGCTACCCACTGGTAGCACTGTAAAAAAGATGTATTTACAACAGGAGATCTCGAAGCCATCTTCTTTTCAGACTATTCGGAGGGTTATCATAGATCTAATAGGAATCAAGGTTAGAGAGGGTTCGGATGTTTCTAAAGTTTATTATGGAAGGATAGGTATCTGGATTGTGCCAAATCGGAAACATAAGGAACATTAAGGTCATTATGGATGATTTTATTAATGACAAAGTAAGGAGCATTGAGGATTTTACGAAAGATTTTGGATTGTTATGATACGTAACGATTTCGATGGGTTTGTGAAGCCCCAAATCTCAACTCCGTAAGTCCAAATAGGTCTAATTGTAGTCATGTATATAAGTCTTTTGTAATTAATTGAAAGGAGAATTAAATAAATTCCAATTAATCCCGTCGAACCACCTTTACCCTTCGTCGTAAACCTATGACTTACTTTCCTGCAGTATCCTTTAATAATACCCTACTTATATCTGTTGAACGAATCCGATACCTTGGACTCCACTTACACAAACGTCTTAACTTGGAATCCTCATACCAGACTAAACGACAAGAAACCACTCGATGTTTCCGACTACTCCAGCATTTACTAGAAAAACGCTCAAAAGTTTCTATTAATTACTAAAAATCTTAAAAAATCACAGAATAAAAAAAAAACCTACTAAAGAAATTGGGAAATCGATCCATCCCAAGGGAATGTACATCTATATTTACTTAAACATCTTGGTAGATTGATGGGGACATTGACAATATTTAAACTATATGTAGTAGTGCCTTTTTTCACTATATATTACAGCTATTGGCAAATAGATTTCGTGTCACATATCGATGCCTTGATAAGCCTTGATTTTTTTCGGTTGAGCTAGGTAGATAAAGTATACTAATATTTATACTACTAATACTAATACCTGATGAAGTAGTCGGGTGCCTACCTCTTCCAACAAAACTAAAGATTTACAAGCACCGATACATGGGAAGAAATCAATTTTTTAGGAGCTGTAATGTGTAGTGAAAGATACCCGACTATTACATCAAGTTTAAATATTTGTAGATGTCAATTTCCGTATAAATCTACCAAGATGTTTAAGTAGATAGGGAATTAAATTTTATTAGGGTGGATAGAATTTCTCAATTTCTGTAGTCGGATTTTTATTTTAATTAAAATATTTTTTTATAAAATAATATTACATTTTGTCCGAACTAATCACATTATTAATAGTGAAACAGGAATTTATTCACATCATAGAAATAGAGAATCTTCTTTATTCTGGGACTAGGTCCCTTAAGAATAACAGTGTTGTTCGTATAAATTAACAATAAATCTGGCCAAAAGACCTCTTTCAATAAAGAACAACTAAAATACGAGTAATAAATTAAGTATAGCAGCTCTTAGGATATATTAACGGAAACAATGCTTTGTGAGTGGTGATGGAAATTTACGTTCAACACAGAATAAAAAATAAGAGAAAAAAAAATGTATAAACAAAATGAAAGCCTTATTAAATGTAGTTTGTGGAACAGACCCCTTTTTATCGAATTATTAACACCCGCCTGAAACTTTGTAAATAGTTTCATCTCATCGTGACCTACAACTATTTTATTTACGAAAATTCTTGGAATTGGGGCGTTTTCAATCTGGAAGGAGGCAAACTTTGTATATTTAATTGGGTACTAAAAACTCGTTAATACACATTTGTTTTTTACTTGGATCTTAAGATAATTTGATCACAAAGTCGAGAAAAAGTATGACCTTCAAAAATATTGAGCCGCTTGCCGTGACCTACACCCCAAATTTTTAATATAACGAGATTATATAAGACAAACGGCCCAATATTTTTGTAGGCCACTTTTTTTATCGACTTTGTGATCAATTTATCTTACGATCCAAGTAAAAGCCAATGGGTATTTACGAGTTTTAGTACCTAATGTATACAGATAATATACAGATAAAATTTGCCCCCCTCCAGATTGAAAACGTCCCAATTCCAAGAGTTTTCGTAAACAAAATAGCTGCAGGTAACGATGAGATGAAACTATTTACGAAGTCTCAAGCGAATGTTAATAATTCGATGAAAAGGGGTCTGTACCACCGACTAATAATTGTACACACGCAATGTACAACTAAATAAAAATAAATTAAATGAAAGAATACTAAACATGAATAAATATAAACGAAAATTAACTTGAGCTAATCACGATAACAACTTAAATACAGGCATACTCATACATAGTATTTACATACAATCGTTCAAGAGAATTCGGAGTCAAGCTTCTCTCTTCACATTTGGACGGAAAAGCAGGACTCTAAGAGTTCCCAGAGCCCCTCTCTCAGCCGCGTCACTGGTATTATTGACCGATGGATAGCCGACATTTCTTATATTCGCAATACTTTCCCTAATCTATTTCATGTAAAGGTAAGTGAAAATATAAAATGAGTGAGCAGTTATTATCTATTCCATACAAGTTCTGCTAAAAGTTATTCACTCATTCTTCAATGTAAGATTTAAGTAATGGGTATTCTTTACAGAAAAAGATTGGATAAGCTGTAGCTCTTTAAACTAGCAACCCCCAAGAATTATTCAATTTTTATTTTTAAAAACAGATAATCATTTCCAAGCTCCTCAGTATTGAATACAATTATCATTAATTATTCTCCAAAATAAAGGGACGCTAAAAAACCTCTGATAGCAAGGTTAGCATCAAGATAATAATTTCCTCATGATGAGGCCTGCGTCAAGGTAGTTGTAATGATCTCCGAATGACGTTAAAGGTCCATTAATCGTTCAATAAGTGAATGATCGATAATTATGGAGGTCTTAACTCTTGAATTTAATTTCAATAATCGATTTGGACCTAGAGTGATGGTTATGGGAGCAGTTATAGATATTTTATCGATGATCGTTACCAAAAAAAAAAGTAAGAAAGTCTAAAATCAATATGTAGATAGACAAACCATTAATTAAAAATAATAAATATACACCAGTTCTTCCCAATTTATATGCAAAAGTATACTTTAGTACAAACCTTATTATTACTGAGCTAGCTGGCACAATCCGGTATCTTGGCTTTTTCTAGACACTAGACTAATAGTTCGCGGTCCAGTCCCCTTCTTATCAAATTATTAATATCCGTTAATATAGCTTTAATATTAATTTCCAAATGAGAGACTTAGACGAGACTTAGTCGTACAAGAAAAAATGATAATACGAGGGAAGAGGCACTTACGGATCCAGGATTTAGTTTTGAGAGGGCT